AAAATCTTTTTAATATCAAAGTGCTAGAAATATATTATTCTTGTCTTCAAACATTTCAAGAGCTTTGATTAGACACACAAGTCTGAAACTATATTTTCATCTATAAGTGTTATATCTAAAATGAAATTACACTTAGGGTACTAAAAAATTAGAAAACTTATTTGCTAAAAGTGAAATTATAAATATTACATTCTGAGACAGTGTACTCAGAGTATTCTGAGACAATTCATACTAAGTATGTGGATTATCAGATTTTGCTAACAAATAATTTATATCATTTATTTTAACACGTAGTTATATTAGATTAATGTTATCCTGTCGCATTAAATATTACAATGTATCAACTAGTAATAAATGCAACGTACTAATCAATGCATCAGTTTTTTTATAATTCAGTTTTCTTACCACTATAATATAAATCCAAAAATGGCAAGTGAAATTTTGTAAAGAAAGATGCATTCACTTGCGCAAAATTCCTGTTCTAAAAGAATAAAGAGTATGTTTAGTGAAAGCAATAACGGGGAATGGGAAGGAGAAACATGAATGGAGTATAAACATTAGCACCAGTTTATAATATTACAATGAGAAATATACAAGTGTACTTTCTTCTCCTTTTATCCTTTTTCCACGCTGAAAATACATTAGATTGGAATGTTGAGATACAATGCGGCTACTATTAAAGTCATTCCTAAGAAAACGCAGTAATGAAATAACTTGGCACATTGATGTTCTACAGAAAACGAATAACTTTCTTTTACCATATAATAGCAGATATGAAGCAGTTTTATGGTCCTCCTTCGTAATAACATTCATTCTCATATCCTAACATTCATTTACTGAAGTTATGAATGCGTAAGGAAATGAAGTACAGGTAATAAATGAAAAGAAATTGCATTAATGCGTATTAAGTAAAATTTATATATGTATTGAATTGCATTACGGCTTTACTCAGCAAAAATTTGTAGAGCCGATTTTTAATATTTTGCGACTGTAAATAATAGTTGACTTTTCTGACGCTCGTGTAATTTAAATAAGTTTAATAGTCAAGTATTTACTGAAAGTAATATGTGACAGTTTAACATGTGCAAATTTAAAAACGGATCAGTAAGAAAGATCTTCAGCAAAGACGAATTTTCATTCTGCATAATAAATTAACTCTATATTACAAAGGGCACTTTTATGAAACATTCAGTAGCATTTCTCGTCCTATGCCCAACTTTGTTTTTACATCAATAAATACATTAGCAAAGTTAATAGTTCATCTTCGTCAATTAAGAAAATTATTTCCTCAAAATGATGAAACGAAATTTTACTATTTAAATAGTGCAATTCTGATAATGAGAAAAACGAGGAAAAATTAATTTACATGCAAATTTCAATTAATGAAATTTTTCTGTTACAAATTAATGTTCTCAGCATTTTATTTGTTTCGAATAACTTTTTGTTATATTTACCACTTCAAAACTAACATCTGAAACCCAGAAATGCATGTAAAAGATTTTTCTCCCCTAAGTATAAATTTTACTTAATTAAAATTAAAAAGAAGTTTAAAGAAAAATTCACTAAACATGCATTATATATACATTATATATATATATTATATTATATTATATATTATTTACAGAGGGTGTTCACACATTTTTGTAACGACTTCGTAAAGATTTATATATATATATATATATATATAACGAACTATAGACTTTTATTTTCTAATATGTTCAGTCTGATAGTCCTTTTGTTGAACTATCATATTGCATCTTGATTTCCAAGATAAAAATCCTTCTCTTAAAACATCAAGGTTGGTTTTATTCCACTCCTTCTTCACAATCTTCCAAACAAATAAGATATTGCCAAAAATTTCTCAAAAATCTTTTTAATATCAAAGTGCTAGAAATATATTATTCTTGTCTTCAAATATTTCAAGAGCTTTGATTAGACACACAAGTCTGAAACTATATTTTCATCTGTAAGTGTTATATCTAAAATGAAATTACACTTAGGGTACTAAAAAATTAGAAAACTTATTTGCTAAAAGTGAAATTATAAATATTACATTCTGAGACAGTGTACTCAGAGTATTCTGAGACAATTCATACTAAGTATGTGGATTATCAGATTTTGCTAACAAATAATTTATATCATTTATTTTAACATGTAGTTATATTAGATTAATGTTATCCTGTCGCATTAAATATTACAATGTATCAACTACATACAAGACACATCAGGGAACTTGGGTGGGATGCATTTAAAAGGAATAGCTTCAGTTCTGGTCTCATTTCTTATTTCTTTCAAAAAATAGAGCAGTAGATTTAGAGGTAGAGCTTGGAGCCTTATCCTGATAGAACTTAATATTGTGAAAATTGTTTGGTTAAAGAGATAGAATTTCTTCTTTAAAAATAGGTATTAAAACGTATTTCGGATAGTAATCCGAATTAATTTTGACATTTTTTCTACTTTGCTTATCTTAAGTTCCGTTACAAGAAAATCCAGTAATAACCATAAAAGCTTTAAAACTTTCCTTGTTTTCTCTGAAGCAACATATTAAGTCTCTTTCTGATATAAATACATACATATAAAAATTAATGCCTCTGATTTAACTATTTATTCTGCACATTTTGAACCCAAAATTAACATTGATGTAGAATTATTAAAACTTCCACGAATTTTAACGATTTAAAAACCATGTCACTTTTCTCTCAGGTATTAGTGTTCACAGTGTCTGGAAAAGTATATATAAGTATGGAGTAAAGACCAATTTTGCGAAAAGGAATAAGATTCAGAATTAAACTCCCGGATGACAGTGTCACTTCATCACTAAGTGATACTATTTTTGCTATTATGGTAAAGAATTTTCCAAGAGATAATGCGCGTGGTGGTAAGAATTCTCACTAAACTTAACGTGCTGAATAAGAGGAGAATTAGCTTAACGTACTTAGTAAGAGGAGCTATAAATTTGATTTATTGAATTTCAGTTTTCTACTTTAGAAGTTAACAGTGTTATTAAAAATCTTTAGAACATTAAACGCAAAACGCAATCTTTCAGCTTCAGATGCAAGAATTCCTTAACTAGACAATATCAGGTGCATTAATTTATTACTTACTTTGGGAAAATGCCTTGAAACTCTCTTCATTAATGGAATAAGTTGATATTTGAGACATAAGCATTTTTATAGTGATTCATATTTCGGGTTTAATCCTCGGAAGTCTACTCCAGATGCCCTCTTTCGCTTTAGGAATATCTTGCTGTATCGAAAGCAAATGAAATTTACAACAGTTCTTATTTTTCTGGATATCGAATGTATTTTTGTTATTGCTTAGTGGCTATCTATGTTAAAAAATTCTAAAGATACTAGTATTCCATATAATATTTGTAGACTGCTTAAAAGCTTTTATTTATTTTAAATGAGAGGACCGCTGAACTTCTGCATGGATCTAAAAGTAAGATTAAAATAAAGGCTGTCGTGTTTTTCTGCAATAAAGGCTGTCCTCAAAGCTCTGTGTCCTGTCCTACTCTTCCGAAAGTAATAATAACTGATCTTTTAAGGTCATCTGGACGGTTGTTTAAAAATTGAATTTGCAGATGATTTACTTTTAATTTTCCAAGGAAAGCAGTTAACTAATACTTTTTGAGAGCACAAAGCAGTGCTGGATTTTGTTTACAATTGGGCGATCTCTCAGGAAATCACTTTCAATCCTTCAAAAACCTACATTTGATGGTCCTAGATTATGCTTACAGAACGATTTGAAAATGTTCGGAGTGACTTGGCCAGTGAACTTATCTGTTTTCGTGAAGTCCAGACTGCTGTTCTCTGCTTTTGTTCGCTTTATTTATGCATGTAATTTTTAATGTTTATTTATACATGTAACCTTTAATGTTCTAGTTAACTTACTTCTGTAAGCCCCGTGTTGTACATATGTGGTGCACGGGGAGTCTGTATGTTCTCAAAGGAAAAAAAAATCCTTCAAAAAATCTATGCTTGTTTCCAGAAATCCTGATCAACAAAATATCGCTCTTTTGATACTCGATGTCGCCCTTGGAATTTGTAGAAAGGATTACGTATTTTGGTTTCATACTTCAAAAATTAGCATGGATAAAGCACAGCGAACTTTTTTCTACTAAATGTCAAAAAATTATTAAGGCTTTTGATTGAATTGCCAGAAATAATTTTGAAGTAAGCTATGATGTCAAGAAATTCATGCATAAGCAATGTATTATGCTTTTCATTTTCTCATGCTTGTGGGCATGTTCTCGCAGAGAAGATTAACAAAAGGAAACTGAGAAAGATTCAGTGGAGAAATATTTTTCACATTATTAGTGGCTCTAGAACACTAAGTTATGAGGCTACATTTTGTTCTTGCAGAAGTTCCGCCTATTGATTTGGAAACTGAATATAGGAATAATATTTTCGAAGCAACGGCAGCTGAAGACTGCATAAATGGAAATATCCCTTCCCCCGATATTTTTCATCCAGCAGATTTAGAGCCCATAAATTTCTGTGATTATAAATAGACTATTGAAAAATGTTTTCATATGGTTTGCTTTACAGATAGCAGTAAATTGAATAATAAGGTTGGTCTAGCATTTGTTCTTTTTGAAGACTAATCTGAGGTTTGCTATTTCAAAAATCGTATTCGAAATTAATGCACAGTTTTTGAAGCAGAACTTCTCCGTCTTGTCGTCAAGTGGATCAAGGGTAAAAAGACAGCATTCTCTGAGTACCTTATATGATCTGATCCTTTTTCTTCTCTTCACCTTTCGAACAGTATTACCAGCAGCGACAAACTAGTAATCAAAACGGTGTTAGCTGTTAGTTCGCTTAGAAGTAGGGGAATTGATACCCGTTTTGCTAAAGGCTAAAGCCTTTTGCGTCTAAAGCCCCTTTGGACTAAAAATGAATACGCGAAAAGGAAATAAGTATAAAAGAAATAAATGAAACAGCTAAAAAATGCACGTATTTTGCTTACGTTTTCCGATAAATAATAATAACATATATTACCTGGTAAATCATCTTCTCCTGACCTGATCTCGGGACATATACTGAGGCTGTTTGATGAGTCTTCTGTGAAATAAAAAACAAATTGATCATAGGCATTTTTTCATTTCAGTAACACAGTTTCATTTAGTAATTTCAGTAAATATTTGCATATTAATATTACTAGAATGAAAAGCAATTAATAATTAAATGCAAAACAAAATATAGAATACTTCTTGTTTAAACTGCAGAGATAGTTCTTCGTTTGTTCCAGTGGAATGGGAAGTCTAATTTTCAGATAAGTATTTCTGTTTCACATTTATAATGTAACTAACATGTAACCGAAAACTTTATTTTTTTATTTTCAGTTATTTTCCTTTTCTATATACTTAACTGTACTACATACTTTACATAAAAATCATTGAAAATTAATGAATAACTTCTTAATTTTTAAATACCGACTTTTTACCTCCCGCTAACCGGATAAGAGAGAGAATGTTTTCGGTCAAAAATTCGATGGCGAGTTTCCAATGAATAAGCACGAATTGTGTCCCCTCAACGTGTTTTTACTATTTGCCTCCCATCAACCTGTTTACACAGGTAAGGGAGGTAATATTTTCCATCCCAAAATCCGAAAATAAGTTTTCATAATAAGCAAGAATTAGGATCCTCACAACACTTTTTTATTATTTTTACAAATATGCCTGTCGCTTTGCATGCATATGTGTGACGATTTTTTCGTCCACGATAACTCTGTGTCAAATTCAAGAAATTTCTGTTTTTCGTACTAAAACTTTCTGCATGCATGTAAAGAATTGATTATATTTTGAGTAGAATTCGACAACCAGAAGAGGTACATGAAGTTTATAACACTTTTTAGTTGTCAATCGGAAGTGGTACTTTACTTGAATCCCGTAACATTTTTTAAGCAATCAACACAACCTATTGTTACATATGTAAACGATAATATGCATATTGTTGGGTATATAAACATATTGCTGCATACATAAGCCATATATGGTTGCAGTTGAAGGAGCAATGTCTTTTGATACCTAAATATAGTGGGGATACGCGTGCAAATGAAACTGAATTTAGATTTGTTGAAACTATAATGATAATAAAGTAGAAAAAAGTTATGGTGTTCGTTTCAAGGTATTTATTTTAAATATAAAAGTACTCAATTTTCGGTAATTAAAAACCAATTAAAATAATATTTAACTGTCCACTAAAATGTAGTTTTTAATAAAAAAAATAAAAGAGTAAACCTTTGATTAAATTTATATATTTAAAATTGGCCAATTGTGCCTAATAAAAGATATACTAAAAAAGTTTGCATTACAGACCTTTGAATTTGTTGTGTGATAAGGTCACATAAAGGAAGAAGAAACTGAAGGACAAGGATGTCTCGGTCACATAAAGGAAGAAGAAACTGAAGGAATATGGACAAGGATGTCTCGAGAGCATAAGATGAATATTATCATTATTTAACTTTTATACGTTTTCAATAAATGTTAGGTTAAATTAATTGTTTTAAAAATAATATTAAAATATTGGCATTGTTTCAAACGCAGGCTCGAGAGCCACGTATTTCTCTCGCACGTAAAATGTAGAGAATATGAATTTGTTTATAATAGATAGGTTTTTCTCTTGTTGATTATATGTAGCCTTTTATTTTGGGCGTTCAATAAAATTTTCATGTGGTGTTCTATCATTAGAGTTTTCATTGGAGTTCAACACCACACCGTTGAAGCATCAACACCACACCACAATTGCAACAATAAATTAGATTTCGTTCACAAACGATCAACTGGAAGTAATACTTGGTGAAAATGTGCTTTAGCCCACTGCTTGGCGATTTTCAGTAACGGCGATTTTTTGAAAATCGTCAGTAAAATCTCAGAATGCGTTGTATAAACAAAGTTGAGAAGGCAGAGCTATGTGACGTTCATAAATGGGTGGGACTAAGATTGTGACTTCACAATGTATTCTCTACAGATGTAGAAATAAGTATACTAAATTTTTGGTATTTCAAACTACACTGCTCAAAACAATTAAAGGATATTGCGGTTCTAGGTGGATCTTGTGGCTGGGAAACATTTTAGCTGATTGATACATGGTCGACAGACGTAGTAGGTTATATGAGAATAAATAACACATGTTTGGCAGAAAAAAAATGCATTTCATTCCTCATTTGTGTACAAAAAGAAAAAAACACAATTTGTGCATATGAAAAAAAAAAAAAAAAAAAAAAAGAATAAGAAAAGGTGTTTTCTTCAAAGGACATCATTTTCAGTAAGAGGTATGGTTTCCATGGACGACCAGCAACGTTGAACACCTTTGAGGCATGGAGTCAATGAGGCTATTAATCACAAGTTGGGGTATTCTGTCCCACTCTTCCAGAAGAGCTCTTTCCAGTTCTTGGAGAGTTTGTGGGGGTGGTTGGCGGCCAGCAACTCGTCTTCCTAGAGCGTCCCAAACGTGCTCTATTGGGTTCATGTCTGGAGAACACGCTGGCCATTCCATTCGTACGTTTCCTTCCTCGAAAAGGAAATCCTCCACCAGGTTAGCACGATGTGGCCTGCAGTTAGCGTCCATTAAAATGAAGTCATCTCCGATTGCTGCAGCGTAAGGGACTACAGGTGACAGGTGACGGAGGACGGGGACGCCTGACGTATAACATAGGTAAACAGGCATATGTCCCACGTCCTCCACTATCTCGAAGAAGCAACTCGCTGGAGCCCCGTGAGGCTGCACCAGGAGTTTACATGGCCATACAGGGGCTAGATGTCGGGTAGTTTTTACATAAGACGTTGTAATAACACAAAGTAACTTAGAAAGAATATAAAGGATAGCATTAAAACACTAAAACACTCATATAAGCTGAAACACATAGATATACAAAATTAAACGTAAAAGCATAAAAAACACACTCGTAATTACGTAACATAAAGACATAAAAACACACACGAAAATACATACCATGACACATAAAATACATATGGAAACACGTAGAGCACATAAATGCAAATATTACACTCAGAGGAAACATATAAGACATAGTAAGGTGTGCGTAAAGCAGTAGTGCTGTGCGGAAATATGCTCAGTTCCCATAATACATAATGTACATACTTTCATTAGGGGCTTCTGTTGCATGAATTACATATTCGTTGCATACACTACATTCGTGCATGCATTGTACGGATATTATATATTTCGATTTACGATAACAGATCATTCCATTGGGTGCCCAGTGCTTTACACTGATAAACATGTCAGTAAAATTATATCTGCAAGTTGGTGGCTATTGAAAGCAGATGTTAACACGAGGCTCGAAATTGAATGTGGAATGTGTATTACAGAATGTGTACATACTGCGAATATCTAATAGTTGAGTACATTGTCTGCAGTACCATGCTACTGTGGCTCGCAAATGTCTTGCCCTAGGGCGTTGATTTGCTGTACAACTGCGCAGATACTCCTTATAGCTGGCGGGTGTTTGATTATGAAACGATAGTAAAGTGTTCTATCATTCGTTGGATGTGGTAAGTGGTGGTTTGTTGTTAGACTGCAGTCAAATAGATAGTGCTCGGGAGAACCTAGCATGCCACAGACACAATTGTCAGATGCTGAGATGCCATGACGCATAAAATAAGATGAAAATGGGCCATGACCCGTTATGTACTGTGTCAGTGGGGCTATTGTTATAAGACGTTCCGTGTCTACCTTTGGTAGGAAGTTATACGTCCTTCTCCCTGTGTCGCCACTATTCCATTCTTCTTGCCACTTTACAGATGTTACGCAGAGTTTTCTTGAGGTGTGAGACGGGGGTAGGGGCACTTATAGTTTGAGCGTGGATGTTGTTGGCAGCCTCATTAGCCAGTCGGTCTGCGACGTCATTCCCTTCGTTGTCGGAGTGTTCTTTCACAGGTCTGAGGATCTCATCCCTATATCGGCGACCAGTCAGAGGTCCATCTCGAAAGATGTAGAGGTCTGTGCGCCCGTCAATGGCGATGCCACCATACACCAACACTCCCCCACCGCCAAATCTGACACTTTCCTGCAAGAACGCAGGATTATTCCTACTGCCACGGTCCCTCCAGATGAAAATACGCCTATTATCAGGATGAACAGAAAAACGGAACTCGTCAGAAAAAAGAACATTGCTCCATTCATTTCTCCTCCAGTTCGCATGCTCTGTTGCCCACTCCCTGCGGTCGCGACGATGCCTTGATGTTAGTCTAACACATACCATCGGTCGGCGAGCATACAAACCTACACCATGGAGCCGGTTTCGGACAGTCTGAGTTGAAACCGTGGTGCCAGTAGCCGAGCGAAGGTGTTGTTGGAGAAGAGTAGCATTCATATTTCGGTGTCTCCGAGCCGTTAACACTAAATAACGATCTTCATTGGGCGTTGTTGCCCGTCTCTACGACCTTGCCCTGGTCTTCGGCCTGCACTTCCAGTTTCCAAAAAACGGTTCCAGATCCTGGAAATCACACTTTGTGACACTCCAATGGCTTGCGCTACTTCGGCTTGAGTTTGGCCCCCTTCTAACCTACCAACAACTCTCCAAGCTTCTGAATCGGTTAAATGACTTCGCTGAGACATCGTACTCATCGAAACAAAGCAGTCACTGAATGCCGATCATCCTTGTCTTCATTGTCTTTTATTCAGTTGAAAGTCAAATTTCATTCGCTGCCGCTGAAGCGACGTTTTTGACGTCGAACTCAAAATTAGCATACTCCACAGTTTGAAAATCAGAAAAATTTGCATTTGTGATTCTCTTCTTCCATTTTCGGCAAAAAAATTTCGCTTATATCTTTATTTTATATAAAACTTACAATATCCTTTAATATAATCCTTTAATAATATAAAACTTACAATATCCTTTAATTGTTTTGAGCAGTTTATTAAATACGGCAAGTGAATTGTAACAGTTATTAAAACTGAAACGTCGCAGTCTCTCATACAGGGTAAATATTTTAAGCTTAGTATTTATACAAATAAAAACAGATTTTTTTAAATTTTAATTTCATATTGCGGAAATTTTAACTTTATCATCTTTACAAAATTACCTTGTTGCTACG